TTTACATACAAAATGTTAATTGTATAAAAATTGAATATAGGCGCATTTTAGATTAAGTGTGTTATTTATATGATGAATTTGGTTTTGGAATATTTAGCAAAGATTGTTTATTAATTTGGTAGATTAAGAAATTGCAAATGTGAAAAAGAAAATGTGACTTAAAATGGATAACTAAAAAGGAGAAAAAGAATAAGCTGTTGCTTCATTTTCAAGCAAAGAGATAATAATAATATTAAGGGAAAAAAATAAATAGTTCTCAATTTCCTTCCCATTCATTTCTTAAGACTATCACTTCAAAGTTTAAAGTCAAAACCCAAATGCCCTAATGAATTTGAATAGGTTTTTAAGTTTGCAATTGGCTTTTATATGGTCCAATATAAATTATTTTCCTAATACCTACTTTTTATTATGGAAGTTCAAGTAAACTTTAAAAATTTGGTCCAAGGGGTTATTAATGCTACCAATATAGTAATTGCTAAATAATTTTGGAGATCTAGTCTTTGTTTTTCGAAATAGAACATGGATATTTCATAATTAGCTAATACGGCTCGACAAGAACATGACACAAAAAAAAAAAAAAAAAAACCGAACATCACACAATTACAAAATATAAATAATAAACACCACAATGAATACAATATGATACAAAAATACACTAATATTAAAAACATTTAAATTTGAAATTTGGTGTATCAAAAATAATACAAAAATACAATAATATAACTCACACAAAATTTTACACCCATACCCTAAGTACCTTTCTGACCCTTTAACCAAAACAATCTTGCATCCAACTTGTTTAAATGTTGACCTAACTACAATTATATAATGAACAAACAAATAAACCATCCTTAAGTTTCAAATTTTACTAAAACAACCCCTCAAGTTTAAATCTTGTGCTAAAAAGATCAAAAGGTAGAGAACCTCAACTCTAAAGTCTCAACTCAAGTACACCTTTTTTTTTTTCCCTAAAGTTTAAACCAACCCTAAAGTTTAAACCAACCCTAATTATAAATCTCAGAAACAATAATCACAAAATCCATATCTTAAACCAAAATATCCATCAAATTATAACTAACCAACCAAAACAAGCTGGCAAATTAAATTGACTCCACCACATACAAACAAAGTCCACTCACCATCATCTTCTTAGGAAAAAAAAAAGTATACTGCAAAAATCTGCAAACATCTTAAAAACTCCAGCCAAAAAACCTACAATGTCCCCACAAACACACACACACACACACACACACACACGCACACTAACCAGAAAAATATCACGACGAATCTTCAACGAGACCCCTCAGCCTCCCGTACGCTTCCCGGCAAGCGTGTGCGTAATCGGAGAGCGCCCGGAATAGCTCAGGCAGCCTCACTTTCAAACTCCCGAGCGATTTTTCCCTCACCTGCACGCAAACCTTCTGGTGCTCCTCCATTTCCTCCTCCAGCCTCTTCCTCAGACTCTCCACCGCGAACTGCCGCTCGGCCACCGGATCTTTCCCCGGTGGCGGCTCTCCTCCCTCGTCGTCGTTCGGAATCGAGCCTTTCCTCTGACCGTGCTTCTGATACCACTCTTCGAAAGACTGCTTTTTTCTAAGATACTCCCTCTGCGTATCCTCGTATTTCTCCTTCAGCTTCATCTCCTCTTCCTGGTGGAGCACGATCGTCTGGATCACGGCCGCAAATGACGAAATCGCCCCTTTCGCCACCTCGTCCGGGAGCTTCTCCAAGTGGTCGTGCCACGACCGGAGTAAGGGCTGAATCGGTGGGGCCCGCGGAGGAGACGGGGCTGAGGTGGACTTATCCGCGCGCTCGATGGGGACGAGGTTGAGCTTGAGCCAGGCGTTGAGGGTATTTACGTAATTACGTTGGCTTGAGACGAGCTTCTCGAACTGCGAGTGCCAACGCTCGACGACGGACGCCAGCTGGCGGGTTTGGGCGTGGTGTTGCTTGGTGGTCTCGATGATGACGAGGCCGGAGGCGTCGAGGGCCCGGAGGCCCGACACGGCCTGGAGCTGCGAGTCGTGGTGGCCGCACATGGATTCCCACATCTTGGCCATCCTGTGTTGTTTCGGAGGGTTTTTTAGGAATTTTGGTCGAAAAAAAGTTCGGATAAACTGCGGTTCGGTTGCAAATCAGTTTTCTTTCAACCGACATAAATATACACGTAATAAAAGATCATTCATACATCAACTTAGGTGTAAATCTCTTAGGACTCATATCTAGGGCTGCAAACGAGCTCGACTCAAGTTCGGTCAAACTCGAGCTCGAGCCGAGTTCGAGCAATTGTCTTCTTATGTCGAGTCGATCTTCAGCGTCATAAATCGAGCTCGAACAGGTAAAAAGAAAAAAATCAATCTTGCTCGATAAGGCCAATGCTCGACTCGACTCGACTCAACTCGGCTCGTTTGCAGCCCTAGCTACAACTTACCCTTGGTCGAGAAAAGTTCAGAACTGTGTTTCAGTTGCTAATCGGTTTTCTTTCAACCGACACAAATATACACATAATAATAATAATAATAATAATAATAATAATAATAATAATAATAATAATAATAATAATAATAATAATAATAATAAAAAGATCATCCATAACTTAACTTATGTGTAAATCTCATAGGACTCGTATCAAAGTAATTTGAACGGGAGCTTAGCTTACCCATGAACAAGAGCCACGAGTTTCGGGTAAAGCTGCTTGTCTCGTATATCATTCACCTCGGAGACAGTTGAATCTAAAGATTGCATGTCAACAATGTAGCGCGTGTGCAAATGGCTAACGGCAGCTTTTGCTTTCTCCAGTTGTTCGCCACTAGCATTTCGTTTTTTCAGTTTGTTCAGCTGGGCAACTTTCCTTTGATACTCGAGTTTCATAAGCTCGCCAGTCTGTAAAACAAAATAAAAAAAAAAGGAAATCACGATTTACATCCCTCAGTTTTGCTGCACACCTGGCAATAGTAGTTTTGCTGTAATATAACTACATCACCTAGTTTTTTTTTTTTTATTTACATATTGCGAATTAATGAAAAAAACACCAAGTTTGGTCTCTCATTTTAGTTCCATCCTTCAGATTTGTCTAGACATGCATTCCAAGGTTTAACGTCACGGAGAAGAAAAAGGAATTAAGAACACAATGCACCTTAACTTCTTCAAAAAGCTTTTTCTCCCACGCTAGCAACTTATCTAAAATGGTAGCATGTGTCTCGTAATCTTCTGCTTCTGGATCATCTTTCGTCCCGTCCCCATTAGGAACGCCTCTGAAGGATTTATTCCAAGTAATAACTTGCATGACCCTTGCAGCATGGTCAATATGTCCTGAAAAAAGAAGATAGCCAATTTGATGATCTATCATAGTTGAAAGAGAATGCGAGTATCAATGTGTTCATTGGATCTAGTCAAAACGTCCAAAACCGATGCTTAGCTTTCACAATCCAAGAGAATTGGAAATTCATATATTTTTTTCAACTATAATAAAACTAAAGTCACAAGCGAGATGTGATGTTGATTTATTACAAATGAATTCACGTGAAGTCTAGGAAATCGAAAAGTTCTTGAAATCTCAAATGCAACGAATATCGGTAATTTCTTGCAAAGATTACAATGTTCTTCATGATAGTTTCAATTTCAAGAATGCATCTATACAATTTAAACACTTTTTCGATTATTGAAAATAATGCACATTCAGATCCTAGATTCGCCCACAACTCATGCCATAATTTTCAATGATTTCCATCAATATGGCGTAATTAAATGTAACTTCCGATGTCTAACACGCGTTTTCTCGCAAGCATTAACATTATCTACAAATATGGCAACAAAAACGATCAAATACACATGCAATCAAAGAATTTCTAAATCTATCACAGCTGCAAACTAAAATCAGTTTTACAAAGCTAAAATTCTTTCGACCGAAAACCATAAAAGCAGCATCATCACCTCGATTATCCGCGAAATTCGAATGGTAATGCAGCCGTGTGGCCTCCAGCATCTTCGAGACCTCCTGCGCACTCTGAGAAGCCTTGAGAAAATGATCGTCCACCTCACTCAATATTTTCAATAAATCCACACCATTACTATTATTATTATTACTAGCACTATTTCCCACAACATTTCCACCACCGGCAAATCTACTCATTGCAGGTGGGGCCGTTTTCGAATGCACAAACTGCTTCTCGGTCGGAGTCTCGTCTGGCGTCTTGAACTCCTCAATCCCCTCGAACCCCACTTGCTTATTAAGCTTCTCAGGCGTCCTGAACTCGAAATCCTCGGGATTTCCATTTTTGCCCTCGACACGACCCTTCATTTCTTCCTCTATTTCCTCCTCCTCCTCCTCCTCGACCTCGTCCAAATTCGACTGGGCCATGTTGTCCATGAAGAAATAATCCCACGCCATCCCTTTAAGTTCCGGTGGGGTCGCCGGATTTGGCGGGGCCCTTACAGGTGTTCTATCTACTTTACCCTCCTCAGCTCCCTTTTTCGGTCTGCGAAGCCCTACTTTCTCCTCCTCTTCCTCCTCCTCCTCGTCTTCTTCTTCCTCATCAATCTCCTCCTCCTCATAAATATCTCCATCATCCATGGCAATGCCTTTCATTTTCCCCTTCATGCCCTCTGATAAAGTCGCCGGCATGGTGACCGCTCGTTTAAGGGGCGGCATGGGGGAGAAGCTCGGGAGCGGGGGAGGCGGAGGAGGGAGGGTGGATTCAATTGGCGGAGGGGGCGGCGGCGGCCGCTCGGACGGCGGTGGGTCGGACGGCGCCGCTGCCTCCAGCGGCCGCGGAGGGACCTCCCCCTGAGCGTAGTCGCTGAGAGCGGCTCCGGTGTCCTTCAGGGAGATCGAATATCCGGAGTGAGCCGAGGCAAAGGCGTTTCTTATTCCAACCGCCTCTTTCATGAGATTCCGCCTCTCTTTGCACCTGGAAACCGATTCTTCATTCTCTATTCTCGACTGCGCGCATCCCATTTTTTCGATTTTTTTTTTCCTCTTCCCTTTGGCTTTAATTTGGGAAAAAAAAAGGGCTTTTTTCTCCGAGCTTTTTTTACATGGATAAGAATTTCTTACAGGTACAGAAAAAGCACTACCTCCATGGGTACACACAAAAAAAGATAAATAAAGACACCTTTTTTATTTTTTGACAGATGCATAATTAAAAACACACGCACATATGAAATCTTACAGGAAATCTCCCAAATGGGGTCGATTCACGAGAAATAGGGTTTCTGAAAAAAGGGCAAATTTCACCTGAGAATGTGCTTGCTCCGCCCAGCTCCGGCCGGCGACCTACAAGAACGGCGATTTCAGGTACAAAAATAACTATGCCCACGCATTATTTTTTTTTCCAATTTCCCTTAATTTTTTTAAGCTGAGATCGACGGATGAGTGATGAATGCTGATGAGGAAAAAGATAAAAAGGGACAAATTTTGTGAGACAGTGTGTGTACAGTGACAAGTACAGAGCAGCTCGCATAGAGAGAAAGGGTGAGGGTATTATCTCCGTTTCTGTTTTCGTGCGGTTCCGTGTTTTTTCCACTGAGTTGGCTCTCCTGAAATGCGCTTACAAACTGTAGAGGAAGTGAAAGGGTACGGTGGTTAATGTAGGAAAGGGACTTTGTAAGGTGCGAATGCAATTAAGGTATTCAAAAGGAGCAACGGTCACAAAACCCGAGGCCGCACGGTGTCGTTTTGTGTCTTCAATTTGGGCAAAGAAAAATTCGGTCACACCATTGACCAATTTGTGTACCCAATTTGTCAAAAGGCAAGAAAATTATAGATATGCATATTAAGGAATAAAAATTGAGATTCGAAATTGGTTGGTGCATAAAAAAAATGAAATATAAAAAATTATTTTTGGTTAGATAATGGAGTTTAAGAATAGGTCTAAAAAAAACGAAATATACAAAATTATTTGGTTAGATAATCTATTAATATATAATAAGAATTAACATAATGTACTTTTAGAAACATTTTCTCGTCAATTTCATTAATTATTGTTTAAAAATAGTAAATTAACAAAAATCAATATAATTAATGTACATAATCTTTTTAGTCAAATATTTATTGTTATTACCTTTATTAGTTGAATTTAAATTTAGGATGATTTAGTTTTATGGAAACAAATATGAGGGTATTATAGAAACTTTCGAAATCCTTAGTTTAAATATATAGACTTGATTGAACAATTACAGAGAATTAATCGTTAATCTTTATATCTATACTAGTATGTACCCCGTGCGATGCACGGGACAGAAATATTAAATGAGTTATTTTCACATACTTTGTCCGTTTAAGTATATAAAACAATAGGATTATCATCTATTTTTCATCTCTTTTAATCAGCCTTAAGTATAATAAACAATATGGTTATAATATATTTTGCACCTCTTTTAATCAACGTTATTTCTTTAGTCAAAATATTAAAATAATTAATATATTATTTCACTAACACATTTATCCTAATTTAAGTTTGATTTTAGTATATATATATATATTCCTTGATATAAGAGAGAATAACAATATTCTTGTTCATCATATAATACTTAATTATTATTTTATTATACACTTTATGTCATATAATGTCATTATTATTTATAAAGTTATAGAAGTTGTACGTCTTATTTATATTTTTATTTGATATAAAGAAAAATATTTAATGCACGTTGGTATTATTTATTTTATGTAATCAATTTAAAATATGTAAATAAATTTAATAATAAATAGTGTATAAATATTTTACAAAATATACACATATTTTTTGTATTTAATTTTGTATGCTAATTAAATAACTTTTAGTCAGAAAATACCAAAAACTCGATCCCCTCTATGATCAAGATTTTTATAATTCGCATTATAAGGATTTATGGTTTATTTAGCATACTCATCAATGAAAATATATTTTACAAGTATTTAATTATAGAAATAAATAAAAAAATAAAAAAATATAATCATGGGTGCCAATAATATACAAATAAATTTTAAACAATAGTTAATATGTTTCAATTTTAATTTTTTACCGTTAGTAAAACTATTTATTATATCTAGTTATTATCTCTTAAATGGTAAATTATACTATTAATTTGAAGAACAATTTATTTTTTATATTTAACAAATAAAGCTTAAGAAACAAATATATTGGCAAAGATTAATTCACCAACTTAATTTTGTGTGATTACTTGGAAAAAAAGTTTCTACCTAACCTGTTACGATTTTCAATAAATATTTTTGGATAAAAAGTGAATATTTGTGAAAAAAAAACTAATATTACGGTTGGAACTTAAAATATGGTGTAATATTATCTTGACCAAAATATTATCAACATGGATCACAGAAATCAATCATGTAATTTATTATAATGAATATCAATGAAAGTATTACAAATATTAATAAAATAATATTTATCTTGACCAAAATATTATCAACATGAATCACGAAAATCAATATTGTAATTTATTATAATAAATATCAATGAAAATACTGTAGATATTAATAAATTTATTGAAGTAATTATTTGATCATATGTTATTTGATCTTATTTGAAAACATGTAAATAGAAGCAATTAATTCATACATTTAAAACATTTCCAAAAATAGTATGCATTAAATGTTTCCTATATTTTTGCTACTGTTTTTAGTAAATGGTAATTCTTTTTATATAGATATAGATTATATTTACTGTATTGAGTAAAACATAATAAATTAATACTTATGTTATTTTTCATACATCTTTTTGTTGGCATAGTAGAGTTACAAGATTATATTTTTCTTCGTAGACAAGATAACCAAATACAAAAATATAAATAACATTTATGTGCCGCTAAAAAATATTTTGGACAAAATGTAGAAATGACTTTTAGAAAATACTTTATTAATTTATGGTATAAAGTTGACAAAATTAATAAATCCAATTTTGGTATAAAGTTGATGATTTTATTTTAAGTATCTGATAGCCATTTTTATTTTTTCATAGAAAATGTGTTGTTAATAATAAATGTCTGATTTTGTAGTATAAAGTGGGTGATTTATTTTGGGTACGAAATGTTCGAATTTAAGAAGTATGAATTTTATTTGGAATGAATAGAAGTATATTTGAAATTATTTAAAACAAAATAAGAGCATTTACAATGCATAAATGTTGTTATCACATAAATTTTGACAAATGTCAATTGTTTATATGGATTGTGAACCACATAAGATATTTGTTAAGTTCACAACTTTATATCTAAAAAATTATCTGCGTGCACAATGTGATAAAAAATAATATTGTCAATTGGAAAAAATAAAAATAAAATATAAATAAGAAACAAAAAATAATTAATAATTATATATTTTTAAAAAGATATTCCATAAGATTTGATTAAACACTAAATCCTGCTATTTGGAATCAATTATATTTAAACGCAATATTATTATGGAACCAAATGTTATGGAATATCTTTTTAAAAACAGTATAATTATGATATCAAGATATTTAACCACGATTCAATCCTTTTAATTCAATCCATATTTTCTTTCAGACTTATTAGTTCATTTTAATATAATATAAATTTACTGTAAAAATGAGAGTTGGACCTTACCATAATCACGGTATCAATATTAACAATATAAATGCTAAATAAAATTTAATTATTTGGACTGTATACTTTATTATATACATATAAAAAATCGCCTATTTGAACTTTAAATATTTTGTTTTTTTTTCGTATATAGTTATGCAATATATGCAACTTAACTAAAAGTAAAAAATATTCTAAAGATTTCATTTCAATCATGGTAACATGTTTTTTTATAATTGCCACAATTTTTGATTCACTAATCCACTATTAATGTAAGCATCTTTTTGTTATAATATATGATTTTCTTTTTATCATTTTGAATCATTTTCTTATCACTTTTTTTATGAAACATATTTTTCATTTAAAAATCGTGATTTACATGTCCTCCAATTCATTTAGTTATTTTTTATCTACAAATGATATTGTTGTTTTTTTAAACCTAATTATTTTTATAAATATGTTTTACAAAAGATACAACCAAAATTCCAAATCTCTGTTAAAACATAACAAAACAAAATCGTTCTCAATTTTTGGAATGAATTTGGCATAAAAAATGAGAATAATTGACAAAAAAAAAAGATATACTCAAAATCCACACTTTAACTTTAAGGTAACAATTTTCCTAACACTCGATATAAGATTACACTTCACTAGATAATCATATCTTTAGTATCTATCACAATATTACATATTTTCACTATAGTTTTATTTCATGGTGGTAACATTTCGAAAATCAACAAAAAAATGAAGGAATGAGGTGTCTATGCAATTTACAATTACCAAGTGGAGAGCAATCTTGGTAAATATCGATTTACGGTTACCAAGTGAAAAATAATTTTGCATGGAAAAACAAAGAACTTTTTAATAATGTATGATTTTTTCAGGATTATCATTTTACGATTACCTAACAAATGTTCTATGTATTATAATTTATTGATTAATAGCCTTCATTTATAAATTTTACCAAAATAAATACAACCCGTGCATCGCACGGGGTACGTACTAGTCAAGCGTAAGAGCAATAGCTAATATCTTGATGATTTCCTTGCAATTAAAATAAATTAAAAGTGAATATTATTTTATATATCTCTTTTATTTAATTAAGTATAGATACTATATTTTTTAGATTAGTAAGTATATATATATATATATATATATATATATATATTAGTATCTAATATACTTTTTTATGTATGATATTTTTATTTCTATAATTCTTGTTTTAATAATTTGTAGGGACATTGGATATCCTCGTATAATATAATAAAAAGAAAAAGCTAGTTGAGGAAGACCGTGTATGAAAATCTAGATTTTAGATTGAAAGATCTCGACCAAGTCTTGAATAATTCAAAAGGAAAAAAAAAAAAATCAACTCCAAAAGGAAATGATAAAATTTGGAAGGCTCGTTATCTT